CAGTGAAAAAGTGTTCCTCATTGGTTGTTACCATGGATATTAAAAACCCAACGATTTCAATAATTTTTATCAGATTTCATCGATGGAGCTGTAGATCTTACGAATAATAGTCTAAGATCCGAACCTAAATCGACCTTCACCGAGCTGATAATAGAACGAAATATATTTTATCATGAATTTAGTATATTAGAAAACATATTAAAAATGGGTTCGCTAAAAAAATCCTGGGCGGACTATTTTTAATTATTTTTCGAAAAATGATTTTTAATTAAATGTTGCAACATCAGGATAATAAAAAAATGTTGTCCTGACTGAAAGTATAAAACGTATAGAAGTGCAGCCGTTGGGTTGTCTACTATTTACCTGGGCGAACTACTGGGTTGTCAGGTAAACACAGGTATATCGATGCCAGTTACTTTCACTGGATTGGATAATATTAAAAAAAAAAAAAATTATATCATCATAAGCGCTGTTAAAACCCGAGAGTGGTCGCGCGGTGAACATTTACGTCATCGGTCGCGTTTCGGTCTTTTAGACCGACGGCTGTTATCGTGATGAAAACAAGTTTTCCAAAATGAACTGAAGTGGCTTTCATTATATAATTCATTGGATGATATGTATAGAACTATAGAACTATAGTAATGAACAAAAACTTATATTCGAACTTACAAGGATAATAAATCAGGAATAGTTAACTAAGTATACTAAGTGGGACTAACTAATCTTGCTGCATACTGTAATTTCTTGCACAATGTACGCATTTCGATGAATTTTCTTTGATGAACAGTATGCGCTACTCCCTTGAACGTTTTGTGATCTTGCAGGTTGTTGTCTATCAGAATCGTTCTCTGGGCCAACCGATTGTTCTGTGTCAGTTGAATGACCACTTTCTTCGAGAATATCATCTCGTTGATCCATCTCAGAATCACTTTCTCCACACCCACAAAAGGCTCCCCATCTGAATCGACTTCCCCGTAGAGCTTCTGGAGCCCTCTAACTTCTTTTTCATATGCACCAGCCATTGTTGATCTATAGATTCATGTAGTCATACAAAGAAATTTATGTAGAAATAAAACGGCACACTACCGGTCGCTACTCGGTCGAATAGACGGATTGCACACCCAGTCGCACTACACTGTCTAAATAGCTCGACTGACGAATTTAGGCTTCCCTATGGTGAATCAGGAAAGGTACTGAAAAGAAGGTACGCAAAGAATGTCATATAACAATAATAGAACAGAACTCGGTAATCGTCGGTCGAAAAGACCGACGCGCGACCATTCTCGGGTTAATTGCGAACACGTTGATATAGGGTTGTATGCGAAAATTCCGGTTCCTTTTAAAATCCAGGAGATTGTCGAAATGGAAGCAAATGAGGAAGAATCTAATGAATCAGACGAATTCGAGAGTCAAAATGATACTTCTGATGAATCAGATGACGAATAGAAAATATTTATTAAAATGTATTTTTCATTAATATTATTTTTGTATTTATACTGTTTTTTAATAAAATTTTAAATCGTAATACAAGATGTCTAGTCTATCTTTTTTGTTATTTCCTAATTTAAATTTTTGGCGGTCCACTTTGTTTCTATTTCCAGAAACAGCAAAAAAAATTCGAAGTAAGTTATTGATATTTTTATTGTCTATTATAGATTATAGATATATTATTATGGTTATAACGCAATATATTGATATTATATTGTTTTTATATATTAGTATTATATTGAATATATTTAATTATTATGTAATTAATTAATTATTTTAACACGCACTGTTTACTATATGGAGGGTAGTAGAGGTACCTCTACCCTCCATAGTTTACACACCGAGCATGCGCACTTTCTACTATTCAGGGTTCTATCACAAGCGACTGCGATGTTGGGTCCTTTATTATTACACAGTATACTTACCTCGGATCTCTCTGTCACACACTTCCACGCGCGTTGAAATTAAAATCTTTAAAATTCGCAAACCCCTAATAGGACCGGAATTTTCGCAGACAACCCTATATCAACGTGTTCGCAATTAAACAGCGCTTATGATGATATAATTTTTTTTTAATTATCCAATCCAGTGAAAGTAACTGGCATCGATATACCTGTGTTTACCTGACAACCCAGTAGTTCGCCCAGGTAAATAGTAGACAACCCAACGGCTGCACATTCTATACGTTTCATACTTTCAGTCAGGACAAAATTTTTTTATTATCCTGATGTTGCAACATTTAATTAAAAATCATTTTTCGAAAAATAATTAAAAATAGTCTGCCCAGGATTTTTTTAGCGAACCCATTTTCAATATGTTTTCTAATATACTTAATTCATGATAAAATATATTTCGTTCTATTATCAGCTCGGTGAAGGTCGATTTAGGTTCGGATCTTCTACTATAATGGTATATGTGGAAAACCCTGTACTCTCAAAATAGCAATGTTTTTGATGGATGCAGTTGCTATATAAGGAATGAGCCCTATATAAAGAAGGTCATTCAGGTTATAGCTCCTGTACTAAATGCGCTGAACAGGGTGAATACTTCAGAATGATAGAGTGGTTCTTCAAAATTTACAGTTCACGCTCAGAACTCATTCAGATTTTGTTGCACAGCAAGATAAGGCACGAATTTTAATGGTGTTGTTACATAACAAAACATATTATTGCTATAATAAGTGAGCTGAATATGAAAAAGAAGAAATGTGGAAAAGCTCGCATAATGAGAACATCAAATGGTTTCATCGTTGAAGAAATAGGCGAGCTCGCCACAAATCCGAGAATGAAGCGTAAAACAAATGCAGAGAAGGAAGATGGCAAGAATGAAAGAAACAAAGCAATTTTCTTCGGAGAAATTATGAATTATTTGATAAACAATATGATCAACAAGGACCATAAAAATAGAAATAAGCAAGTTATAAAAAAAATGAAAAGTGAAATAATCGAGCAGATCAAGAATGAGGTAATGACAGAGCTATATGTCCATATCTCCAGATGGTTCCATCAGAGACGAAAGATCAATCGAAGGATGATCACGACCTAGTACCAACGCATGACGATCCCGAAAATAGCAGTTCCTTGAGAAACATTTGTGTGTTTGGTGATGGGTAGCACTGTTGAGTTTGATCCGGAAGACATTGCTATTGTTATGTATAGCACGAGAATTATCAGTAACAATAAAACGTTGAATGCAACTATGAAAAATATAATGGGAGTCAAGAGGACAACAAATGTAATAGTTTCGGAATGTGATTGTACAATTAATACAAAAATCGTTGATATCATATTCTCAAAAATTGAATCGTTACGAAGGCAGCACCGCAATAATTGTTCTGCAACTTTCGAAAGTATTCGTTTATTGTATAACTGAATTCGTAAAGGAACAAACGATTGTTTTGAGAAAGGTGCACATTCAGAATAACGCATCAACAAATTAGACAAATCAGCCACGCAGCTGAATGGACAAATCAAGCTCTGTTTGACTGTACAGCATGATTTGATGGTAGCTACTGGGTAGCTCAGGAACGAAAAGGACACAAGTGAGAATGCTACAAGTTGTGGATAGCTCTCAGAAGTTTGAAATTGGAAGACCACGAAATTCGTTCCACGAGATGCCTGATCAGCCTTTTATAAGACAGGATTTCGTCGTAGCCTCCCATGGACACAATCAACTAGCTTCATTGAGACGAATGGACCAAGATGTTGTATCGCCATGACAGCAACTACCAATAGCCAGCATTTCGACGATTGAAGGATGCTCATCAGTCGTCATTCGCCACCCCAAGAAGCCAGCAGTTCCTTTCGTTCAGCTGCCAACTACCTCGAAGGACAGTGTAGGAAATCTTAAAGCCCGAAATATTTCACCCTTATGCCCAGGACAAGGATACCATTCGAACCCAAAAAGGATCCTGCCGAAATTCCCATGACGATTGGAGGATACTTCCCGACCTTCCAGAAGTCCTACCGATAAGAGTCTGATTAAAATCAATTGAATAGCCAGTGCTAGACTGAGTAAAAGTGTGAGTGTGCATTGTAGATACTGAACTATTGAGTGTGTGTACTCAATCTCTGAGATGTATTGTGTTTGTCATTCAGGTATTCGAGGTATATGTTCTCCTCGATATTTTTAGGTAGATAGTAATTTTGCCAGTTTTCTCGGAGAGGGGGGGTCATGTCACGAGTAGAACGTACGGTATATTAGTGATTTCGAACCATGAGTGATTAATAAACATAAAGTAAATCAATCCGTTGACATCGAACTATGAAAACTGACCAATAAGGAACTCTCATGAGGAACGTGCAAGTCTAATAAAATGATGTATATAAATATTGGATGTGAGGGTTCCGAAGTTAGTCTGGTCTGGGGCTACTCTTGACTTGACAAGAACTCGTCGTTATGGTCATCATAATGTAAGTTGTTATTAGGTCTTTATTTTCATTGTTATTCTTTTATATTAATCATCACTTCGCCCATAATGTTTCGTGTCATAATAAATATTGTCACGCTCTCGACCACCGGCTCGGTGGTCGAGAGCGTGAAGGCGCTGAGTTCGTATGGGGATTCACACCGAGACATAGGTTCGAATCCTAGTTAGGCCATGGATGTTTGTGTATGTTGGTATACCTAACCCCGCACAAGTTTCGACTTATGGGGCGTTTGGTCCCAGTGCTGGGACCAACGAGGTATGCAATTGCAAAAAAAAAAAATATAGTCTCGTACTTACAGTTACCCCTAAACTATTAGTGCCTATTCGACTATTACCTCTCGAAAATTATTGAGCCAAGCATTGAACCTCATAGATCGGAAAAGATGGGCTAACCATCCATTTAATCATTACAATATAGGTATATCAAGGAAGCATGATGGAGCCGATATATTCCACCTTCCATGGAAATAACATTTCTTTGACAACTTTTTCTCCTTGAATGAAGGAGAAAATGATTCAAACACTAATGCAAATAATTTTAACACCAATGCAATGGAGAATATAACAAAGTATTATGTTTATTCAAGTGGAGTAATTTTATTAAATATTTTTACAGTTCACAGTAAATACATTTATACATGATTCAATATCAATTAGTGGCAGTGTGAGAAACTATCAACATGTTCGGAAAATAATATAATAATTAGAATGCCTCTCATTGATTCGAAAGACCAAGCTATTCTGCAAAAGATTGAAACTTATCGATATCTTAGTGCAGATTTACTCTTCCTCGGTTATCTGTTCACATCTGTCTTCGATTTCATCCTGAAACATAATAGAATTTGATTCGTAATCCTATTGGGAACACATAATTCTCATGATCTTGTCCAACATATCCATCTGTAAATGGGGCTGAATTCATCAAGCAAACAGGTTTAGGAATAGAGGGTTTTTTTACTCCAAAGTGACTGATTTATTTGAATCTCGATTCATTAGATTTATTTTCAGCAGCAGTAAATATGTTCGTGAAAACATTCAATGAGAATGGACTTGAATCAAACATCAACTCGACCACAAGAAAAACTGAAGATACTGAAACTATAATTGATCATATATAGGATAGTTAAAATCCTGAATGGAAGGAAGAAAAGGAAATGATCAAATTATACTATCCTTAGTGATATTTGGATCCAAACAAAAAATAAGTATACAAAATTATTCATGAGTTCGTTGAAGATATGTCTTGACCTCATTTTTATAAATTTGGTTACCTTAGAATTAAGGAACGCTAACGCTTACCTCATCTAATTCCAAACATTTTGCCCACTCCTTGATGTTGATTCTATGATTGTTGTCAGTATCGCAAGTGTTCAAAAATGGAGCGATACAGTGTTCCAAAGCCATAAGAGGTGCTCTTATCGGGAAGAGTTCATGACGGGATACAGATCTATTGAAAAACAGTATATATTTAAGAAAAATAGTAATATTATATAAAATGATGGATATTGTATGGCAAGGGTTATTGGTGATACATTCGAAAATATCAAATAAGGGACATGTTTCGAACGTATGTGACATGTTCATCATCAGCCCTAAAGGACCCGAAATAACCTCATAGTGTGAGAAAGAGACAGTTTTAGCAATATACTTATATGGTGGTGAGGTATTCGATATAAATATATACCAAAAAGTACATAATAATTATCAACTTCCAATGGGGGGAATGGGAAATATATGTTGTGAAAATCTTGAATGTGCCTTGAAGAACTTTCGAGCTCAGGGTTCGCCATTTTGCGCAAAAAGGTACGCCAGAAAACCATCCGTTTTATGTATGCCAGCATCAACAATCAATGATGAAGATTTCAAATCATAGAATGTCATAGTTATAGACCAAGGCAGGAGAGTTCGTTCAATCAGGGAATTATCATTATCATTTTTCAAAGAAAGCGATCATTTCAAAGATTCCTAGCAAATTCAAAAAAGTACTTCCATCTATTTCCAATTTATAATGTGAAACTATACGACACGGATGTTAGCTTCGTAATGGGAAACTTCACCACACTAATGCGGTGAAGTGTTACTTCATCGCACTAGTGCGGTAAAGTGAAAAAAACAAATTTCAAATTACAGTTTTTTACGAGAAGAAAAAATGATATCTGATTGATCCTGAATATAGCAGCTACTGAAGTTCCTATTTTCTTATACTTTCGTGTTCGGAATTTATGTCGTCGATACATTTTTTCTCAAATCAAAATGAGCGCGTGAAACTTGACAGTTTACAGAATCAGTGACAAAACCGAGAACACGAAAGATTGCAAAGCATGCTTAGTACATATTCCTAGTAAATCATTAATCCAAGGAATATTAATTATTCTCGATTGAATAATTAGCATTCTTGGTAGTAGGTTCGTATCGTAAACTCATTTTACGATAATCGATATAATATCAAACTCTTCCTCATCTCATTTCGTGATATGATACTACACTATACTTGTATAGTAAAAATCTATTTTGATATACATGGAAGAATTCCGAATCGTCTCAAATATCGAAGGAATATTGAAAGGAATGAACTATTGCTATTATATTCCTAGATTTTCCACTGATTTCAATATGTATCTCTTTTACCACTCTGTCCAATATACTGTGAATAACAACCAGTTTTTTTTTCGATTTCAATTCGATTGATCAAATCAACATCAGAATAAACCAGAACGAAAAACTGCATAAAGAAAGATTGAGTCATGCTTGATTTTTGACATTTTATTCAATGTTCAAATTACTTTCAGTAGAGCTTTTCATCGGGGTCAAAAAGGAAAAAATTTTTGATGAAAAAATGTCACAATTTGCAGTTTGATATATTGTATTGCAAAAATACCTACTTGTCAACAAATGAATAAGTCCAAATAGCAGACCTTGTTCGATACACTATCCTATAAAATATTCAAATTCCGTTCATATTCTGATTTTGAAATAAAAGGTGAGGTAAACATACACAATTTCATCATTTCATCTCGAGCCGTTCAAGAGAGTCTGTAGCTGAAATTCAATCGATTTGTTTCCATTTTTGCTAGTGAATTTTGCTATATCGACAGTCCTTGAGTATTCTATTTTAAATATTCGACAGATATGTATAATTCAATATTCTTTAGTATTCACCAGGCAAGTAGTTATTTCCTCTTAGATATTTCAACAATGATTTTTCTAAATACCGTCTGTAGGTGGATCGGGGAGGTGTAACATTCATTTTACTTGATTGTTTGGGATTTTCTCTTCTTGTTTTTAGCTTCAGACGTTTTGGGAACGAATCTGCTGCCGTTCTCAACGAAAAATGCACAATATTTTCCTTCACACAATCTGTTCTAATTTCAATTATTTTTGAAGAAACATATTTCGCATTTTTATGTTGAGAACGGAAGCAGATTCGTTCCCGAAACGTCCAAAGCTGGAAACGAGGTGAGAAAACCCCAAACAATCAAGTAAAATGAATGTTTTTCTTGTTCACCATTTTCTGTTATATATTTGAATTTGATGAGCCAACTATACGGGATGAGTCAAGAATGTATACACCGAAATTTCTGAAAATTGAAAAATGAGTATAATTTGATGAATTCACATATGGGCCCAAAATATATAGTGAGGGATATATTCTTTCAAAGTCGATGAAATATAAAAATAGGATAACTTCTGAACGTTGAAGGCACCATATTGATATAAAAAAGAAAACTCATATCAAAATAAGAAAAAAATTTCGTTTTCGAGATAATTGAGTTTCTGTATTCACATGATATCAGCAGATGAAGAGAGTTTCGATCTTCTTCTGGAGATGCTAACATAGTTAGCAAAATACGTGTCGAGGTGTGAAAAATCGGTTCGGTTAGTGTTAAAACAGTATGTATTATCGTTTCAGTCTTCGATATAGCATATGAATGTTTCGGTAACAGTATTTGAGGAGGTCTCGAACTTCTTGGTCAGCCACCATCTTTATTTTTCGTTTAGAAATATTCTGTTCCACGCAATCCTCTGAATTGTTATCGTATTTGGAACGCATCGAACTAGAAACATCTCTGCATAACGAATAACCTGCCGTTTCTTGAAATCGGAGTTGAAAATTGCAGTGATAATATGACTAAGCTGAAAAACGTACGAAGGTGAAAAATGAGTACAAAATTGGTGATGCCCTCCTGATATATTTTTACCAATGAATTATTCTGATGATATCATGTGACTACAAAAACTCGAATATCTCGATAGCATTTGAATTTTTCGTATTATCCAAGAGTCTCTCTACTATGTAATTTTTTTCGTTTTATCAAATTTTTCACCAGAACAAATACAAGATAATAAGTTGTCTTCCAGAAAAGTGTATTGAAAAATTGTATTTAAACAAACATTTATGCAGAAATTTTCAATTTGGTCTGGTCATGCCAAAAATATATCAATTTTATCGACTTTGGAAAGAAATATCTCCTCTGTTATGCATTCTGAGCCATGAGTTCATCTATCAAATTATAATAATTTTCCAATGTACTATCATATTCAGAAAGATCTGAGCTAATTGTGGAATTATCCTATATTATGAAGATGGAATCATGTTTGACACAGACGTCCGTGGTACCATATTCAAACGTTAAACCCAACCAACATTTCAAGAGAATTATACCAAGCAGAAAGGAAACATATCTTGAAGAAGCCGAAATTCACTAATTTCCGACAGAATATATTAGCCTCATCATGCCCTGAGTAAGTTGAAGATTGGGTTGTGAAATGCATGATTTGGACCTTCACATTTTCTATAAAAACCATCAACTTCATAGGCAAAGTGCACAGTTGGAAACTTCGCATAATGGACTTCAAACATAACTTCATAGTCCTAGTGGGCATACAGTTGATTATTGAGTAATATTCAACTTCAATTCAACAAGTAAAATGCCTTCAAGGCCCTCGAACTTTCAGGATATTCTCTGGAGTTGAAATTTACCAGATTTTAACTTAATAAACGTTCATATAGTCATGGAATAATCAGATGGAGAAAATTAGTCGAATCTTTAATCTTCTCTACTTATTTTAATATCAATTGAGTGGGATAAGTTTCATAGACTTTATAATTCAATAAGCACCAACTTCATGTCCGATGAAGGCAATATCACCACAATAGAATCCTTATAGAATGAATGAGTATCCTTTAGAGTGTCGAAAATACCAACAATATTGATGGCTATTATTGCCCCTCGGGTCTTGAGGTGAGCTGAACAACATGCATATCACCTGTACCTTCCTCTACTGTCAAGTTTTAATTCGAACGACATATTCATAAACTCCTAAGACTCCAAACTTGAATCAGTAGGTATTGTTGATCGTGAAACACGGCACATATTTGTTTTCCAAACCCAACCAATGATGGACATTAAACAATGAAGAAATCTCAGTAAACCATCCCACAAGTAGGTAATTAATAACGTCGAAATAACTTAATTCAGTCAACCATCAGAAAAGAATTAGGGCAATTTCACTCAATTGTTCCCTTGACCTATTGGTCAAAATACCCTAGTATTTCAATTTTCGTCTTCTGAATTACTTCCATTCTTACTCCATTTTGGTGAATTTGAGGTAAATAATACGTTGTATTTACTTTCGCTAAATAAGTCGTTGACCTATTCTCAGGTCGAAATTATACCAAAAATGTTTGTTGGGTGTGGCAGAAATAGTTAAGGTATTTACCTCATAGCACAGATAATCGATGAAAGTACAGAATTCTGATGCATCTTTCTATAAAAAAAAATTGAACATCTCAAGACATCTTTTGATTATTTAATTGATACTGACTTGATATCGAGTATTTTTATTATGGAATATGGAATTTTACTCAAGAGATATTTGAGTTGAAGCTTCGTGGTGTCAAGAGCTATTACGAAGTGAAAAACTTGTAGATGATCGGGAAAGATTATCAATTTTATTCTTTTCCTAAAGATCCAGACATAGCGAAACACGTGTCGACACCTTAGAAGATCGATTTGGTTAGTGGTGAACCAGTATAGTGTTATTATCATGCCAAATATCCTAGTCTCCAATATATCATTCTTAGTAGAAACACATTATTTTTTGGATCTTGAACAGCGTTGGGAATGATGAAAAGATTGTTACTGATTGAAAACTCCAACGCTTCGTGTCAATGCACAACCATTATTCAATGTTGGAATGAAACGTTGATATAACGGAATAACGTTATTTCCACTGACTATATCACTGATATATCATCATCAGCTCTTCCACTCGTACAAATTTGAGAATTCAACCCCCTACATGCACGAAAGAAACAAGAGTACTTTCATCAATGGAGAGAAAAAATGATTTTTTACGAAAAACCTCATAGGAAAAACCAAATGGGAGGAAGACCATTGAACTATTTGGATGTACTATCTATTGATTGAATCTCCATAAAGTAGATAGAAACATGATCACGATTCGATGTTAGATTTCGTCTTGATGAATATTACCAGGAAGAACTATGAATATTTTCTGATTATGTCCTTTTATTATTTCTTCATGAGTAAATAATCAAATCATATATTGAGTATATTCCACTTTTGTTCTATACTTCGTTTCGTACGATTTTTCTTTCCCTCCTGAAAATGAAGAACGAGGAAGAAAACTCACCCCCTCTGAAAAAATTGAACCTGAAATTTTCGGAAAGTCGCTGATATTCGTCATTCTTAACAGTCGAGCCAACTTGATGTGTTCATTCTCCTAACCTAACGCAACTACAACTTCAATATTTCAAATGGAAATATCCTACTTTCAACAAATCTTCTGATTCAATTGTCATGGCTGATACACTGGTCGCTTTTAGAAATCAGTTGAGCTTTCATTTAATAAAGACGTCCTGTCGAACGGTTACCAAGATCAACATGTCTCACAACTTTGGGCTCATTCCTGCGTAGCCATTTGAGATATTATACGCTACCTCGCCTGAATCACTAGAGTGTTGCGTCAAAGAATTGCCGAATATATAATGACATTGATAATGTTCGCACAGAATTGGAGAATACACTATTTTTTGCAAGTTTACTTGTTTAAAATGGAGTGTTTTTGTTTTTATACTTTGAACTATTTTTTGTTCGACGAACTCATTCATACAGCAAACAAATAATTCTTGTCAAAATGGAAACAGAAAATTGTCGAGCATTTCTCTCAGGAATAAGAACGCCGATTTTGCTTTCTCATCATTATGCTTTTAGTCGATAACTGTATCAAATGCCAGAAAATATAATACTTTGTAACAATGTTTCCACAATGGAAGAAAGTTCTGAATGATGTATTGCTATTCCATTCGAGAATTCAGACATGAATTCTCTAGTTGTTTGGGAAATTAGCATATCAAGCTATCTTAACTGTCAGAAATCCTTTCTTTGGGATCCTGGTAAAGTCTACAAGAAATCTGTTCTCTGAGTAAAATTTGGGCTAAGTTTATGTTGAATGACCCTGTATAAGTCCACCTGCGATATTTGAATTATCTCCCGTAATAAATTAAGTGTTAATTTCATTACCGACAAAAATGTGGAAAGTTCATCTCTTTAGACATGAGCGGTAACAAAATATTCTGAGACTAGTATATCATTTTCATTGCTCTCAGTACTCACCGGTCTGGCGGATTTCCGTCGAGTTCGCAGAATTTCCAGATAGCTGCGTTGGTCCAACGACGGGTCATGTTTGATTCGGCTTCGCGTTCCATAGTCAAGTAGTGCGGGGTTAATTCCTGACGATCAGCCAAATCCCTCATGATGTTGAAAAGCCAGTCACGCATTCTGCGAGGGAAGTCGGACATTTCTTCTTTGGTACATTCCTACAACCAATCATGTTAACATGGAAATGGGATGGCGATGAAGGTACTTCACAGAATTCGTAAATTTTAATTTTGGTCGGTAACTCAACCGAAAAGATGAAGATAATGATGTGAGAAAGACTTTCCACTATAATCCTCATTATCCACATCTTTCCCCATATCAATCACACGAGGTAGTATAGTAATGCTTTTGTACTGAATGAATTCATTTTCAGCCAAACTATCAATTTCTGAGGAATCTACTGAGGAAAATTAAACTTACAGGCTGATTTGAGTGATTAACGTATGCGATAATTCCATCGAATAGAACACCCTATATATAATTGAAATTTAGTGATCTCCATGGGAAGCTGAATTCAAAAACATATCACATAGGGTTTGTATACTGTGTTTCCGTTGAATTAAGTGCTCTAGTGAAATAAAGCATATATTCAGTAAGTGCCAAACTATCCATTTTTGAGGAATTTCCTGAAACAGGTCGAATCTTCTCTTCAATTTCCCATATTGATAAGAGACAATTAAATATAAAGGATGATCCACGCTAGTGATGATTTCTGCGACCATTTTTTCAAAATGTTACACCGTATATATCATTCAATTTTTGAAATCTCCATGGTATTTGGATTCAATAATATGTTACAAATAGGGTTTCTATGCATTGTGTTCGATAAAATAGGTGCTTTCATGAAGTATAGTGGATGAATTAATCGAAAATTAAAAAAAAATCTGGAAAGAACGCTCGACGCCGTCGAATTCTCTTCATATTCGGCATAGATTTGAATACACTAGATCTATGTATTCGGGAAATTCGAATGATGTATACAAAATGATTCAGGAATGGGAAACTACGTCATCGGTATTTTTTCAATGGTAACCCCCATTTTACGAGAACAATGGATTTAACAGACACACGAACCCACTAGGAGTGATGAATCCTTGAATCCAATTCCTTATGTGGATTTCAAAAATTGAATAATATATAGGGTGTCCCATTTGAAAAACTTGCCAGGGGCGTCTTGAGCCAAACGTGAATCACCCTGTATATTTTATTCTCCCTCATGAATGTGGCGAATTGTGAATAAAAATCCACCTGTTTCTGAAGATTCCTAGCAAATGAATAGTCTGAATAAATATTAATATATCCTCTACTTTACGAGAGCACTGTACACAAACTATATGTGTAATATAGAGATTTCAAAAGGTGAATGAAAAAAATATTCACAGATATCATAACTCAAACGTGGATCACCCTTTATATTCAATTCTTCTTGATACATATAAACATAATGCTATATTGATCGTTCAGAAGTTCTATAAGATGAACCGATAAAAACATGCAATTGCAAAACCAAATTAAAGGGTAGTTTCTATTAGATTGTTTGACAGGAGAATGATTTGATCACACTATTTCGAAGATCTTTTGCACACATAGATACCACAATTTTCTGAATTTTGTATGTTAGATAACCAAGAGATTTATATATATTTCTATCTTGGGGCGCACTGTGAGAAATCCCTATTATATTTGAATTAATTGTGGAATGAGCATGTTCTTACCTCTTCTACATGAAAAAATAATTAACAAATCTGGCAACATCAAGTTTCTCAAAACAGCTTCAAGTAAATGTTCCAGATTAGTTGAAGTATATTGCACTTTTTGATAAAGGCACCAAACCTGGCACAGAGATACACCGATATAATATAAACAGATTTGGATATGAAGCCATCGGACAACTGACATCAGTAGTTAAATAAAGTTGGCTGCTGAAAGTTTCTGCATAATTCATCCAATTTTCTGAATGAAAATATGTATTTCCATGAGTTATATACCAGGTGTCGTTCTGTGAGAAATTCCTATATTAATCTTCTTGGGCATAATATGTACATATAGTACAATGTCGGTAGGTCTTTGATGCAAGCTTCATCTAGGACAATGCAGCTAGTTGGGGGAAACTCAGGGAAGAAAAAAAATTCACGTTATTCCTGAAAGATTCCATTTACTGCTTTCCTTCGGGCTGGAGTTTTCTAGCATGCTGACCGAATAATTTGAGCCTATTCCTTTTGATAGGATCGTGTATGGGTTTTGTTCTCTTGACTAGGCATTTTCTGACAAAGGTATCTAACTGCACTCGTCTCACGATATATGCACGACAGAGGTCGTCTACAGATCGAGGTGGTGGAATCTCCTGAGTTTCGAATACCAACAGATCTTGACTATCTCTACGAATGAATTTCTGAAGTCTTCCATCACTTTGATCATTGACTGTACGTCTATATGAAAATTAATCTGCAAACTCAATAACTGTGCATGATGCTTTGTATCTTGTGACTGGTTTAGGTCAGAGTACTGGTGCTCTTCGATATGAGTCTGGCAACCTCTGGTGCTGCCACTAACCAGCCTCCTCCGTCTCCGTTCATGGATGCATTGTTTTGTTCGTGTGCCTGATCGATGAGGATGGCGAAGAATAGCCTATTCGTCTTCTGGACAGTTGAATTCCACTGCTCGGAACTCATCGGCTATTTAAGGGTGTTCCTTTGGCAAATCCATCATGACTCGCAGTTGCACACGAATCCGGTTGGTATGATCTGGAGCATTAAACCATACTGAAAGTCCTCTGAGGGCATCAACGTAGGTCGCAAACAACGCTTGGTGCAAGGAGCACACGTACACTGAAATCGTCAACTCCAGTTCTAGTACAGTTGCCCAGTAGTGGAACTGGAGGCAAGTCCCCGCCTTTTGTTGACACCATTCAGCGAACTCCAACTGGTCGGTACCGTCGTCACCCAACTGGTCAATGTAGTGGTCGTAGGCGTCCTGCTGTAGGGTGGAGAGGGCTGCTGCTGTCACTTGATGTGCTCTCCTAGTTCGTGTGATATATATGCCCGCAGGAAGGAATCCGCAGTCCCGGCACTGGTGACCTCTGTCTCAACTAGGGCTTGCATTCAAGTTACCAATGGTCTTCAGCGCAGCTATCTTGATATAAACACTTCCGGAGAGAATGGCGAACTTTGTTTCACGGTACCCTTGTGGCCACTTCCACTGGATTTACTTTCCTAGGGCAAAAAGTGGTTGTTCGAATGTGACCACTGGAATTGGGCCAGTGTTAAAATGTTTCACTGAGTTCCTGACAACATCAATAGTGACAGTATGAGCATTCTCCAGAAAGAGTTAGAGTAGTGCCGTGAGACAAATAGCCCGACTAACGGTAATGGACTGCAGACTTGCGTCGTATGCAGCCCATGAAGTGTATTTTAATAGAGAACTTCCTTGTACGGCTTATTGGGCGTGTCGTAGCCAGAAATACTTCGTTTCAATATGTTGCTTGAGGCCGCTGTTGCCACTCAGGGATTTCATGTTGGGAACCGGTACCTGTTTGTTCCTGATGTTGCTGTTGACGGGTGGGTCCTCTCTATAGTTTTGTGGCAAACGGTCAACTGCTTTGGGACCTCTTTCGTTCGATTCTCCAGAGATACTGATGAAGCGGTCAACGCCGGCCCCATTGAACACACCACAACAAAATTGTATCATACTATACTATAAGTGTCATACTATTTTGCAGTGGTTATATTTGATATAGTACTCATAGTATTATACAATTTTGCAGTGTGACTAGTCTATTTTTGTTCTTGCTGTTCGGCCAGAGGTAGACTGTATTGTTTCTGCTCTATCACCACGAAGCTCAAAGAGTTTGAAATATTTTGACATTGTTCTGAAGATAGAAGATAGAAGAAAGCATCAGCATATATGTAAATTCTACTTCTGAAACGAAACTTACAAACTATTCATAGTAATAATCAAAATTATGTGAACTTCATCAACTCACCTGAAACTTGACATACTATTGTTAAACAATTATTGCCACATATGTCAAAACTAGTGGAACAATATGTCTTCGAGTTGAAATTGCAGCAATTAGCGATGATTGTTTGGTTCAGTACAGAATAAAAGAGAAAATTCGAGTAAAATGCTTATATACTGTCTGTAGGTTAATGGAGGAGGTGGTACATTCATTATTCCAAATTTTTTGGGATTTTCTCTCCTCGTTTCTGACAAGCTAGTGAATTTTTCTTTTAGGCTCTCTGATAGGAAAATTCTTTAAACGCAGTGACATTTTGGGGCAAATCATCTGATTTGTCCTTACTACACGTATATTGAAATAATATTCATATTTTTATTTTATAGAAACGAGGAGAGAAAATCCCAAAAAATTTGAAATAATAAAAGGCTTATATATTTCTCAAAAAATACGTAACACATACCACTCATGTAAAAAATATAGTTCCAGATGAAAGGTTATGAAAATGAAAATAAATGTCTAGTGAAAGAAGGTGTGCCATTTGAAATAACGAAGTTATAGGTAACTGTTCGAGAAATTCCACTCAAGATGCCCTTCAATTAAGACCTCAGTGGGGCGATGATGGAAATTTCGAAAACGAAGATCAACAGTCACGTTGGAATCAACACATGCGTTTTCGGAATAATTATAATTAACTCAGCAACGCCGCGAACGAACTGCAAAACCTGCAGAGCCGTGTAGACAAGATAACCATGAACTAAAATATGCGAATAAAAAAATGCACTATTCAAAAGAATCGTCAATCTTGTAGACCTGTGTTTGAAAAACATCCTGTAGGGATCAGAATAATTCTCCTTCGTAGATCTAACATACTGCATCCAACATACTACATCCCCACAAAACTTTTTCCTATCTCCCATTCGAATAGAGCAATACAAATTTTCCACATCACGTACATAACTAAGCAAACTTAATCTATTTGCTGATGTCTTCCGGTTGACCATTTTGGAGAATAGCCATCACGACCACTAGGGAGCAAATCTGTTCATACTATATCGGTCTACCTCTGTGCCAAATTTGATGCCTTTTTCCATTGGGATATTCTAGCTTTACTGTTACACGAAGTTGAGGTTCCCTCAGATATACCTAGGAACAGTATTGCTCTTACCCGCATTTGACGACATTCGCCATAATATTCGATGTGGACGTGTTTGTATTGCGCCCCTTTGCATTGAGCGTCGTCTTTGTTGCACAAACAGCGTTGCTGATAGATGGCGCAATCTGAGGACCAAGTTTCGTTGAAGTTCGAGCAAACTTTTCTACGCGACTCGGTCTCGACTGGACATGTCGGGATGCAGACGCACTGGGGCTCGCCTTCTTCATCCACCTGACATATTCTGCCAGCGCCGCAGTGAACTTGCAAACACGGATCTGAAAAAGGAAAGTTGGATCACACGCTTGTGTCAATATTCTAGTGATTATTCTGTTCGTATGATTTTGAACCAATCAACACATTCAATTGAGTTGAGCTATCTTGTATAATTTCGAAAGTACTCGAATTTACATAGAGTAACTCCGCCAATCAGAAATTTAGAATCATATCCATAGTAACCAATTTATATTGTTACATACAAACCAAGCGTGTCGTAAAATGTTGACTTTTGTTCAGAGCTACTCAAATAATAAAAGCATAATAACAAATCGTCTCAGTTTACCAGTCAAACTGACAGTTTTTTTATCGCTTAGAGCGCACAAAAGGGAATTCCTATAATGTTCAAAGAACATCGTGCGTTTCTAGGGAGGATAGGGACAGGAGGTAGGTATTGGAATTTTTTTTGAACTTCTGGAGATTATATGTTGTTCGGAATACTTCCACAGGTAATGAATTCCAGAGCCTAGCCGTTCTATAGATGAAGGAGTTTTGATAAAGTTCGACATCTTTCGAGGTTGACAACGAAAGGATGTGCTGACTGGGCTTGTCTAGTACGTCTGATTGGTATTGCTAGTGAAGGGATCATAGAAGAGATTTCCGAAGAACATTTCCCGTGGAAGTATCGATGGAAAAGTGAAAGGTCGCCGACCTTTCTACGGTGTTCCAATGATGTCAAAGAGTGAGTGACTGTGGCGTCACCCACCAGGCGAATGGCTCTTCTCTGGATGGAATCTAAGAGCATCAGCCAAATATTTTGAAGTACTTATAGTATTACAACTGAGAATATAAAAATAAACATTATTCCGAAATATCAAGGATCTCTCTTGGTTCAAGGTGATGATGGATTTCGAACAATGAAATCTGAGTAGCCATATCACGAGAAGATTAACCGATAATGTGCTTCCACATGGTAGTGGCTATAAGATACTCTGAAAAATAGTAAAATTATGTAGGAAATACTGGAAAAAATGATTATAGGCGAAGAACAAATTGTTGAACAATCCTACATTAATCACTATAAACATATACATAAAAGCACAAAAATGAAAACAACTTCAATCTTCTTCGTTTTTAATCAATTCCAATCTTCCACAGGAAGGAAGAAATGCTCGAAGTCATCCCTACAAATTTTAATGATATTATTACATAATCCCAAGGAAAGACCATCTTCAGCGTTATTGAAAGATCAGGAGTATTCTGGAGTTGAAATTTTTTTTATGATGCTACTGTTTCTTGAATTGTTGTCAATGCCCATAGCCAAGAATTCAAATGTTGATGAAAAAACGGGTTCTCAATAAATGAAGGGCCCCGTGCCCTGAGGGTGCATACTATTTTTTTCATTGAAAATTTCATATATCAGAATGGTATATGGAGGATATTGCCCAATTCAAGAAACAGTAGCATCAACAAATTTTTTCAATTCCAAACCTTTCAATTAGGCTGAAGATGGTCTTTCATAAGACCGAAACATGTCCCTTATGATGTGATAACATCATTGAAATTTGTGGAGATGACTTTGAGCATTCCTTCCTTCCTGTGAAATATTTCACTCCACTTTGAGCAATATGGATTTCTACCAAAGACTTCCAATCTTGTTTTCAGTAGAAATTCTCAAAACATCAGCGTTGGGCTCGAATTTGGTTTCAGTAGAGGGTTTGAAAACAAGTCAGCTCAACGCAGTTCTTTCTGAACGTGAACTTCATCATCAATCATCTTTATACCGCCCTCCTCCTGAATATAGTGAAATTTAACATCGATATCCTTTTCATCTCATATTTTCAAATAAGTTGAATAGCACTCTGTTTTTTTTTCAATTTTTTTCATTTTTCAAGAGTTTTCACAACCCAGCAAACACTTTTGTACCTTCACAAGCTGCGGTTTACTCAGCTAAGGTGGTTGAAAGCGCAACAACACGTCGATGACATCTCGATGATATTTGTGATCCTCTTAGCATGGAGACATACCTGAAGTAGACTTCTATAAATCAGTCTATAAAAAAATCAGAGTTTTCGTGAGCTTTAGACTCGGAGTAATATTATGAAAAAACATATCGAATACCTAACTTCAATCTTTTATCGAAGTACACATTTTTCTTACAGCTGTAACAGAACTTTAACTTGGTTTTTCCATGAATCATCAAACTCTTCCCATCGCAAGGGTGATATCAGGACGTGAAAATACCACCGTATAACAGTGAATCAACAACTTCTCAGTATTTTTTTTATGTTATGGTTCCCACGAAAAGAGTTATCCTGTAATGTTCAGAGAACATCGTGAGAACCAAGAGAAATAAGGTAGAAATTGGTGTTCTTCTTAAATTTCTGGAGGTTATATGCCTCGGGGAACACCTCCCTTGGTAATGTTCTGCAGGTCTCCGAAGAGACCACGAAGGGGTGCGAAGCCTCAACTCGACGGGTTAATCTCGCGGGGACTGCCAAGGGAGGTACAATTGTTGATAATAAAAATATCTATAAAATAAAACCAGATCGCCAACTTTTCTACGGTGTTCTAGAGAAGTGAGTGAGTTTGTGAGTGAGGCATCACTCACGAGACGAATTGCCCTTTTTTGGACAGAATCCAACAGTTTCAGAGTTTGTTTGGGTGCCGCACTCCAAATATGGGAACAGTATTCCAGGACAGGTCGGATCTGTGCCATGGAAGTGAAATAGCTCCTGGCCCGAAACAGAAAATCTAGTTTTTGGAATGCACTTTTAGCAATTCATCTCACGTGATTTTCCCAAGAAAGGTTATTGCTGATAGTAATACCAAGCATCGAAATGGATGACTTCAAAGGTATGGTTACTCCTGATATGCTTATGTTTGGCACAGTGAGATCGGCTTATCTAGAGAAAAGGCATGCTTGTGTTTCGTTTGCATCGAAATCTACCAAGTTATTGGATCCCCACTCCAGAATTGTTGCCAAGTCTATATTTATGTAGTGAACATTTCTCCCTCGTTCATTGCTGATTTGTCTGGCTGGTATTGGAGCCCTGGAAGAGAAGGCGGTATGGAGGGTATTATCATCCGCGAAGCTGTGTACTGGACATAAAGTTGCTTCCAACAAATCGTTGACATGGAGTAGAAATAGTGTTGGTGCTAGAATTGATCCTTGCGGAACACCAGCATTTATGGTAAGAGAGTCAGATGAAACTCTGTCGACCACTACAATGAAAGTGAAGCCTACGAACATCTCTGAGATGATTTTGTGTTAACTAGGGTGTAACGAACTATTTTGAACTTATCATTGGGATTCCTGTTTGCTGCACGGGGTGGGTAAGACATCGACGTACAAAGTCTGCACAACGCTTGGGAAACGAGCTATGGCCACTCTCTACTGGATGAGGCAGACTGCGTGGACTGGGGAGGCCCCGGTTGACTGCAAAGGGATTAGTCAGCGTCTCGCCCAAAGAGACCAGGAGTGTGATTGGTTGGAGCTAAGGGGTTGTTTGGGCCAGAAGGATTTTCGATACAAGGCCATTATCCAAGTCCACGGCATGATTCCTCGTACTATGTCGATGGCCGGAAGTGAACAGGCAGGGCCTGAAAGGAAGACTAGCAGCCAGGCCTGGAATACCAGAGGTTGGAGGAGCAGGTAGGAGAGGACAGTCGGATCTCTGAGTCTAGTACCCTAGAGAGGTCGCCCAGCTGAAGTCGGTGTCAGGAAGATCAGCCGATGGTTGGTGAGACAACCGAAGTGAATTTGCTAGAAGCAAAAGAGTTAAGCCGGTGCGCACCAAGGGTGTCTGATGTCGAAAGCTCTATAAGGGTCAATATAGAAGACACCTTGGAAATGACCTCCTGGAGAGACTAGGAGAAAGAACACGTATTAAGAAGCCAAAGAGGGTTGATACGGAAGATGACATAGGAGTATAGGATGGCCTAGATGGCCAACAACATAATGGCGAAAGATCTAGAGCGCCTAGTAGGTCTTCCAACCCAATAGCACCACTAGGAGCCTTAGCGAAGATTTTCTGCGATGGGCCGCCGCAGGTATGCAGCCAAGCAAGATAATGGATGGCGTTGGGCTTAATGAGGGCATTGGATATACCCGAAACTACGGAATACTGGCGCTGAATGATGTATGCGGGATGCCAGTTGCTACCCAAGTAGATGATGTCGACTGTCCGGTCGGAGCGGGGCAGAAAACAACGAGAAATGACTGTCTAAGGTGGGCGGATCAGCATCATACTCCGGATGATGAATGCCAGGCATTGGCAGGTGAGGATACGGAACGAGAAGTGGTCTGAAAAGATTGCCACGCCACGCTGGATAGTTCGCGGTTGTGGCCGACTCCGTCGAGGGTCGTAGGGTCGTCCCGGAACCTTAGAGAAAGAAATGATAAGGAGGCAGAGAGCATAGATGTACGGCACTTGCTGACCTAGTCATGTACATCCTCGTTCCAAACCATCATCTACGCTAGCCGGTGGACATTCTCGTTCAGCGGGTGTAAGTAGGTTGGTGCGTGACAAAAGAAGCTTTTGCAGGAACCTCCCTATAGAGATTGTATCATTTCTTGGAAGTGGTTTGATTGATTAATTGATTGATTTCCTCTTCCATTCATTCATGGAGTATATTCAAGTTCAAGTTCATTGGACATCTGAATTTGCAGCAATTCGATCTTTCATACAAACTCTCAAACATTGCCCCAAAGCTTGGTGTATTCCTATGCATAAAAAACAAATAGGCTCGGGGTTATACTCTGGTACAAGTCATAATACTGAGAATATCCCAGTTGAACAAAACACGAAGTGAAATAAATATGTCAGGAGACTCTCAACTTGCTATGGTATCCTCAGAAGATCAATATTGATACAACACTAGAGCATACAAATAAATATTCACAAAATTTAAGCTCTTTGTTCAAAGAGGTACATGCCCAATACGATCTCAAGTATCATTCACAGAGTTATATAATGAAACTCTTTCCTCACCCACACTCTCTTCAGTTAATGCTATCGTCACAATCGGAATCATAAAATGACTTGTCGCTAGAAGAGTGATATGCACAGAACTCAAAGACCGTGATATCAACAAATTTGCGTTAGATTTCAGGATATCTGATATGTGCAATATGCTTTAAGTTGTAGTGAAATAAACAAGTTATTCAATTTTAACCCCATTGTGCGAATAATGTTGTATGACTGAAATGACTAATTACCGGTATATATCTCATTTCGCAAAAATATGGATTAATAAACAATTCGCTTCAACCATATCTGAATGAATATGAAATGATATCAGATCAACCAAGGTGGAAATACAATGGTGTGCTACGACGCATCTTCGTATACGTACAGTCGTATTCAATAAAAAAGCGTACAAGTCTTCAAAGAGTGGTTTTCGTCATCCTAGTTCTAGTTGTGTAAAACTGTGCTCACAGCCAATGCTTTGTTTTTTTAAGAACTTATCGACAACTTTACTGTCAACATTTGGTAAACAATCATTTTTAATAGCCCGTTTTACGCTAAAGAGGATGGCATTAATTTCTCTCTGTAATATACATGTACGTTTTTTTTTAATCCGACTATAATTGCGAGTGAATCAACTGATCGCAATGCTCACTGTCATCAATTCGCTCGAGTCCGTGATACCTTCAATATCGAGTATAGACTCGCAATGACGTTATGCGCAGAAGAGACGAATTATTCAAAATACGTGAGTACCACAGCAAATTATATTCCCACCATGAGATCAATAGTACACACTTAGAAAAGTAAAATCAACAGGGAACTTGGGGAATAACAAACTCGTTGAATGAGAGTGAAGCGTGTCTAACCATCAATCGAATATATTTTCATCAATTTTGATGCAACTTGGTAGTTTTGCCAATTTTTGGTGTAAAAAGATTCCGAATCATCTCTCCCGTGGCGTCTCAGTGGGTTAATTTATCGATAATAATAGTGAATATCATTGTACGCCACTGTTTCTTCTGTGTTATATATTTTTATCAAATAATACAATGTGAATGAAATTTTGTGTTACTTCAGTACCTCGCTAAGTTTTTGAGGAAACAATAAAAATTTGATATGACTCAAAATTTTGATGTAGATGCTTTCAAGACACTCAACAAGATTATTCAATAACCTAAATAAGAATCAATTTGGAATTTTTTGGCTTTGTCAGTCTTCAATCATACCACATTTTGCACCTTAGAAGCTCACACAGAGGGAAAAGAATGGAAACAGATAATACTTCCAACTGCAACTTCTTGTATCTCAAAAATAAAGCAAGTTAGAAAACATGTTTATATGAACTTTATATCCTCAAATATAACAGGCAACCACCCTCTGAAGTTTGCTGCAGCTATTCACTAACCCCCAGTATACACGGGTTTTTGGTGTAGGTAGTATGGTCAGGTTTTCTCACGATGAAGCTATTAATTTAATACCCCGTGAACAAAAGACATTCCCAAATATCACACCATGATCATAATACACATCTTAAAAATCATCACGCTACACTATTGATGTTAGAGAATATTTCAGCATGATCATACTCTTCGCTTCTGAACTATACAATATGGTAGCAGAAAATATAAAAGATATCATAAATAAATCTGGCTTCAAGAGAAACCTACGAGAGTCTATTTTCACTAGTTCACGAAGTATAATCAATAACGAGTGTATCACTTTCAGAGTATATTTTGTTCACAACTCCTTTATATTTATATCATTTGTACATGTTTACATCTTCGTGGATGGGATTATTAGAATTGTCATCTTATGTCTTCATAGATGAAGACATAGTTTTGAATCCACAAGATATTCGATCTTTTATAAATCAAAAACATTTCCAAAATATTTCATATTCTCATGTATTCAAAATTAATTTAAGCGTGAGAATATTTCATCAGCTCAACGCATGTACTCACCAATCATTGGCACTCTGTTATCGATTATATCTTGACCAGCAAGAAGAGGAGGAAGTGCTTTGTTGTCATCCTCATTCGTGTCCTCAACAGTTTCTTCAATAGAACTCACTGTGGGTGGCATGGGCTTCCTGTTATATTTCTTATGTTTCCTCTATAAAAAAAAAATATATCTCAGGAACTAACAAAAAAAGTAGAAAAAAACAACCAATGCATTTTAAGAGCTATCTCATGCTATATTCTGGCTTTCCACAAGTATCAATTTCGACACCAACATTCTCCCTACTTCATAGATAGATAGATAGATAGATCTTTATTTAACTACGTGATGTATAAAACATTCGTAGCAAGTCAGGTAGCAAGTGGATACAAAAAGTACTGTACAATATTCACGAAATAAATAAAATAACAATGATAGTAAAATAAAATAATATGTGTACATTACAACATACCATACACATATATGTATACACTATAGTAGACACAATAATTATTGGGACATATAACATGAGTATTTGAGCATAAATATATGTTTCATCTTTGGAAGAAGTCCATGGTAACTCAAAGTGGAGTGGTGTAGTTCATGGATGAAAACCCAAAGTCATCTCCACAACTTTTATTTAATGATCATAGATCATATAAGGGAACATGTTTCGGGCTTATATAAGCCCATCATCAGCCAAGAAAATGTAAAGTTATGGAAGTGAAAAATGTTGCAATGTGTATACAATAAGCAATAACGGAGCAAGCAAAAGAAATTGCTCCATGATTGTTTATATGATAAAAATGTTTTTTAAAATTTTTTTAATAAAGTTGAAGGTTGGGGGTCGGGAACATATTAAATAAGGGCCCACGGTACCCTCAAATCACCGATAAGTGGTAATTAAACTTGAAAATATCAATCTTTTATAATAAGAAAGATGTGGCTTCGGAAATAACCAAGAAAAGAATCATGGTTATTTCCGAAGCCACATCTTTCTTATTATAAAAGATTGATATTTTCAAGTTTAATTACCACTTATCGGTGATTCAAGGGTACCGTGGGCCCTTATTAAATATGTTCCCGACCCCCAACCTTCAACTTTATTAAACATTTTTTAAAAAACATTTTTATCATATAAACAATCATGGAGCAATGGCTTTTGCTTGCTCCGTTATTGCTTATTGTATACACATTGCAACAGTTTTCACTTCCATAACTTTACATTTTCTTGGCTGATGATGGGCCCTTATATAAGCCCGAAACATGTTTCCTTATATGATCTATGATCATCAAATAAAAGTTGTGGAGATGACTTTGGGTTTTCATCTATGGGATATGTGTTTCAGTTTTACAAATCACATCCTGGGTGGGTCAGCCATACACTCAGCAATACTGTAGTAGCATTTTTCTTGTAATATCACTTTGACAGAGTTTTCAAATGTCGATTGATTTTCATGCTTAAGTGTTGCAGGAAGTATATTGTAAAGGTCAACAATCATTGAGTTTTTGAATGACTTGTTGTATTTAAATCTTCGAGACCTGATCAAATTTGCATTGCGTGTGTTATGATCATGGTAATTTGAGTTAGTTAGGAGTTTATTTTTATTATCATGAATCTCGAGCAGAAACTGATAAATATACAAAGTTGGTAAAGGCATGATATTGAGTTGGCAAAATGATGGCCGACAGGAATCTCTGTAACCCGCACTACAGATTATTCTAATGGATTGCTCTTGAATCTTGAACACTTTTCCAGAGTAGGAGGAATTTCCCCAAAGGGTCAATCCATAGCTGATATATGATTGAATGAGAGCAAAGTACACGGAAAGAAGAGTATTTTTATCAACAAACGCTTTTAGTTTTCTCAGAAAAAAATTGTGTTTGCTCAACATGGAACAGGTATTTTCAATGTGTGGTTCCCAGCTCAAACTATCATCAATAGTTAATCCTAGAAGTTTGGCGTGGTCGCCTACAGATAATTTATTGTTTGTTGAAAAGATTAAATGTTTTGTCTTATCTTTATTCAATTTTAGTAAATTACTATTAAAAGAATAGAATAGAATAGAATTTTATTTTGTCCACTGAATGTCACAATACAGGTAAGTACAATACATTATGGGACACGTCACAAACAGATGAGCTAGTTCACTTATTGGTACAATAAGAACCTGGTTCGTATGATAAAATAATGTAAAAATAAAATAAAATAAAATCCGGAATTACAATGTCACATTCTTTAAACCATTCTTGAGCAAGGTTTTCTGCTGTTTTCATCGAAGTTAATAGCAATTCGTAACTATTTTCAGAGCATATAAGAGATCTATCATCAGCAGAAGAAATACTTAGATAAGGCAACATATAAAAAAATCATTGGTGTAAATTATGAATGAAAGTGGCCCCAGGACCGAGCCTTGGGGTACACCTGTTTTAACCAGATTCAGCTGAGAGTTTGCTCCATTGACAGTAACACACTGACTCCTATTCTGGAGATATGACTCAAAGAGTTTTGATGATTGTTGTAACTTAAGATGATGAATTTACCACTAACAAGACAACGACTTCATATAATTTCATATAGTAGAATCCCAATGTACTCGACTCAATCTATATTCAAAATATGACATGTCAAGACTGACAAACACGAATATTCAATACTGACGCCAGAAGACCTGACATGTCAATAATATATACAAGGTATAACAATCTCCCACACTATTTTAAATTGAATGAAATATTCAACTTATAAAAGTCATTGAACATAGTCGCCCAAATATGTCGGTCGACGACGTGGACGCTGCAGACGATTTGACACAGAATCTGGTTCAGAAGCGACGACATCTGTTGGAGTTACAGGGGGTGTCATCAGTGGCACAATCTCTGGAGGTCGAACTTCCTCATCTGAAACAACTTCCTCAGCTGGATTGACTTCTTCACTTTGTTGAATTACATTACGTCGTGAATGAATGACTGTCACGGTCGGATTGCGAGTCGGAGAACATTCCTGCGAGGAGTCCATCGCGGATCGAGTTCGAGCTGGAGAGTATACTTTTTGTGGACTAGCTAAGGGAATTCGACGTGTTACTTCTGATTGACGAAGCTGGTCGATATGACGTTTTAGTGCATAACCATCATCCAACTTCACTCTGTAGTGTAGTTTTCCGAATGTTTCTGAAATAACTCCTGGCTTCCATGCCACTTTCCCACTGGTGAACATCTTCACGAGAACTCTATCTCCCACACTGAATGATATCAAGCAGGAGCGCAATGGAGAACTTGATGCTTTCTTCGAGTTTGGAGGCCCTAGCGGCTTGAGCAGATCCAATTTCGTGCGGATTTGTCTACCTAGATAGAGCTCAGCAGGTGTCTTATCACAACGTAGAGGAGTAGCGCGATAGCGGAACAAAATGTCGCGAAATTTTGAATGCATCGACCCATTTTCTGATTTCATGGCATCCAATTTTCTTTTCAAAAATTGAACATAACGCTCAGCTTGACCATTCGTTTGAGGATGTCCTGGTGCGATAAGACGACGATTAATTCCATTTGTCTCACAGAATTTGACGAATTCGGAGCTGATAAAAATTGTGGCATTGTCGGAAACAATTACCTCAGGCAAGCCGTGGACACTGAAAATGTCTTTTAGAAATTCAATTGTAGAAGCTGACGTCGGTGCAGTTTTTGATAATCTGATCTCCGGCCATTTTGATTTAGCGTCAATTAGAATGAAAATGTAATAACCATCTTTAGGACCTGCATAATCGACATGAACACGTTGGAAATTCGAGTCCGGTTCCTCCCACGGGTGTAATGGTGCAGCAGGTGGGGAACAAACAGTCAAAGCACAAGCATCACAACTCTTCACAAATGATTCAATGTCTCGATCAATGTTTTTCCAGTAACAATACCTTCGAGACAGACTTTCATTTTCGACGTCTTGACGTGGGTAGCATGAAGCTCTGACAATACTGAGGCTTGAAGAGTGTCAGGGATTACGACCCGGTTTCCTTTAAATATCACGCCATCTTGCAGCGAGTATTGTTCCTCTTGATTTTCTCCACTCTTCAGTTGTTTAAGTAGTTTTGACAGTTGTCTATCTTGAGTCGTAGCAGCAGCGATGGTTTTCGCTGATATCACGTCGGATGATATCTGATTTATACATTGCTGTTGAATGATGTCGTCCTCGTTCAAAGCAGGTAGACTTGACTGCAACGGAGCTCGTGAAAAATAATCGACATGTACATTTTCCTCTGCTTTCCTATGTTTGATGACATAATCAAATCCACTTAGAATTGTGGCGTATCGCAGGAGTCGTGAAGCGGAAAGAACTGGCAGTTCAGTGTCCTGGTGAAATATTCGACTTAACGGCTTATTGTCGGTGACAAGAGTGAATTTTCGGGCAAATAAATACATGTAAAATTTATTCACTCCGTATATAATGGCTAAAGCTTCGCGATCCAATTGGCTATAATTCCCTTCTACCACTGTTAGAGACCTCGAGGCGAATGCTATCGGTCGTTCCTGGTCATTTATGACATGTGACAAGACAGCACCTATTCCAACAGGGCTGGCATCACAGGTGAGTATAACTGGCAAATCTTGGTTGAACGGCATCAAGACACGATCGCTGGCGATTTCTTTTTTCAATCTAAGAAACGCTTCTTGACATGGTTTGGACCAATAAAACTTTGAGTTTTGACGGAGTAGGCACCTCAGAGGAAATGTCAGAGAAGAGAGATTTGGAATGAACTTGGCGTAGTAGGTGGTCATTCCCAAAAATCTTCGTACATCTGCCGTATCACATGGTGGTGGTGCATCTATAATCGCGCGAACTTTCTCAGGACATTTCTTGATTTTATTGTGCTCGATAACGTATCCAAGGTACGTAATTGATGTCTTGAAAAATTTACATTTTTCACGATTGAGGTGTAGGTCATATTGACGTAAGCGATTCAGGCAGCTGATTAGATTTGACGAACACTCTTGTTTACTTGACCCGTAGATAATAACATCGTCGAAGTATGCGGTGGCACCTTTCAATCCGGACAATATCTGATGAAGAATTCGATGGAATTCGGATGGTGCAGGTTTTATTCCGGAACTCAAACGTTTCATGGCGAAAACTCCTCGATGTGTAGACATTGCCTGGACCATTTGACTTTCTTGATCGACTT